GTGCTACCGCTTGAGCCACATCCCCAGCCCAATTTCTTTCTTCTTTATGGCTGAATAAAACTCCATTGTACATATATACACTACATTCTCTTCATCCATACCCCTACTGATGGACACCTAGGCTTGTTCCATAGTTTGGCAGTTGTGAACTGTGCTGCTGTAAACTTGGGTGTGCATGTATCACTGTAGTATGCTGACTTTTTAATTCTGTAGGATACATACTGAGAAATGGTATAGATGGGTTCCATTGTGTCTTGTGTATTTCATTTAATATATGACCTTGAGTTCATCCTACTTTTTGTTTTTGCAAATGGCAGGATTTTATTCTTATGACTGAATGATACTCCACCGTGTGTGTATCACATTTTCTTTATCCATTTATCTGTTGATGAGCTGCTAGGCTGATTCCTTGTCTTATTTATTGTGAATAGTGACACAATAAACATAAGTGTGCAGGTATCTCTGGTGTGTTATCATTTTCTTTGGATATATATACCCAGAAGAGGAGATAGCTTGGTATTTTTAGTATTTTTCTTTTTTTTAAAGAAACCTCTATACTRTTCTCCGTAATGGCAGTACTAATTTACATTCCTATCAACAGTAAATGAGTTCCTTTTTCTCCGCATCCTAGCCAGCATTTATTATAGTTTTTTTTTTTTGGATAATAGCCATTGTAACTGGGGTGAGATTATTGTGTTTTGATTTACATTTCCCTGATAGCTAATGATATGGAGCATTTTTTTTCATATATTTGTTCCATTTGTATTTCTTGTGTTAGTGTCTATTTAGTTCATTTGTCCATTTTATAATTAGATTACTTTTTTTGTTAAGATTTTGAGTTCTTTACATGTTGTGGATATTAACTCTTCAAAATGAATAATTGGCAAATACTTTTGTCAGTGAGAGAGGGAGAGAGAGAGAGAGAGCAAATTTTAATATTTATTTTTTAGTTATCGGCGGACACAACATCTTTGTTKGTATGTGGTGCTGAGGATCGAACCCGGGTCGTGCGCATGCCAGGCGAGCGTGCTACCACTTGAGCCACATCCCCAGCCACAGAAGCTTTTTAGTTTTATATAATCCTATTTATCAATTTTTGCTTTTACTTCCTGTGTTTTGGGGGTCCTAATCAGAAGATCATTATCTGTGTGAATGCCTTCAATGTCTTGAAGTTGTTTTCTTCTTGTAGTTTCTGACTTTCAGGTCTTACATTTAGATTTTGATCGTTTTGAGTTGATTTTAGTATAGGGTGAAAGGGGTCAAGTTTCAGTCTTCTGCATGTGGACATCCAGTTTTCTCAGTACTGTTGGTTGAAGATGCTGTCCTTTCTCCAATTTATGTTTTTTTGGCACTTTTGTCTCAAATCAGTAGGCTATAGATATATATATATAGGCTTATTTGTGGGATTTCTGWTCTGTTCCTTTGGTCTATATGTGTGTTTTATGCGAGTACCATGGGGATGAAAATAGACACCTTTTTTAAAAATTTTTTTTTTTAGAGAGAGAGAGAGAGWTTTTTTTTTTTTGAGAGAGAGAGAGAGAGAGAGAGAGAGAATTTTTAATATTTATTTTTTAGTTCTCGGCAGACACAACATCTTTGTTGGTATGTGGTGCTGAGGATCGAACCCGGGTCGCACGCATGCCAGGCGAGTGCGCTACCGCTTGAGCCACATCCCCAGCCCGAAAATAGAGACCTTTTACAAAGTAGTAACTCTAATCTAGGTTCTATAATCCTGAGTATTATAAGCATGTTATCTGTATATCATTTGTCATATTAGAATACTTTCTGTCTTCAAGGTTTATTTTTCCTTTTATGGCACATTATGAGCTCCAGAATTCTTTTTCTTCCATTTGGCTTTTCATTAACAATCAGGGTCTCTATGAGATTCTTTACTTGGAGAAATTGTGTACCTAATATTTATCTATGATAATAAGACTTAAAATTGTATTATGATATATCCTCTCAATAGAATCTGATATTGGGCTGGGGATGTGGCTCAAGCGGTAGCGCGCTCGCCTGGCATGCGTGYGGCCYGGGTTCGATCCTCAGCACCACATACCAACAAAGATGTTGTGTCCGCCGAAAACTAAAAAATAAATAAATATTAAAAAAAATAGAATCTGATATTTCACTGCCTTTTTATTTTATTTTTATTTGTTTTTTTGAAAAGGAAGAAGTAATACAGTCTGTATTTGTAGATTATATTAGTGTCTATCTGGAGAAGTAAAAAAATCCTAGGAGAAAAGTAGTGTTAAAGGTGGAGCCTGGTCCATCAGCCCTGAGCCAGCAGTGACATGCAACAGTTGGCTATAATGGATAGCAAATTAGGGGACTGTCATTTAGCATTACCAAGCCTGTCCCCAGTGATGCAAATAGAGGGCAATARGAATCCCGAACAGGGCTGTTGGAGGTGAAAATAAGAGAACATTTTGATTGGAGGTGAAAATAAGAGAACATTTTGATGATTTCTAGTAAAGTTGACAATTCAGATACCCTGAATCAGCAATTCCACTCCCAAGCACATACCCTAAACAAACTCAGGGATGTGATTGTGAAAGCACACACACATTCCTGTACAATGTTCCCAGTGACATTTAAAAAAATTCTCAGGTTGTCAATAAGCCACATGTCCATTAAGAATGAAATGAGTAAGTATGCTGTGGTGTATTGAAACAAGATGTACAAGCATGAATGAATTAAAATGAATTAAGAATTAGCTACATTAACTGAAGCGCTTTTTTTTTTTTTTTTGTGGCCCTGGGGTTTAATCCCAGTGGTACTTTACCCTGAGCTACATTTGCTTCACTGCCTTTTTAAACAGCAGATAATGTGTTTCCTAAAGACTGTTTTCACAGAAATCTAGGCATTTCAATCTCCTGTAATGTATCTATGCCCTTTCTTGAATTGGAAACTAAACCAAATTTTTCATGAATTTTTATGTGTGAATATTGACCATGTAATTATTCTTTAAGGTAAACAGTTGAGTTTACACAGTACTCATCCTTGTTTAAAATTTCATGGCTGAGATGCCTTAGGCTTATGSTAGTAGGTTGGTCAGCCTCAGTCCTTTAAAGTTGGCACAGTCCAATATAACTACCTCGGGGATGTGTGACCATGGAAAAATGTTTTTGTTGTTAGTGTTCTTGCTTTCTAGTAATTTTATTTTCTGCTCAAGGGATTTAGTATCTGTGCAGATAGTTTCTTTTTAAAGGCCACATAAGTAATGACTTGACCTCTAATCTTAGCTTTGAAAATTTCCCAGACACTAATAAAGATTTGATGTCTGATGACCTATTATTTGAGAATACTACTAATTGGCCAGCAATCAATGCTATTTAAAAAATGTGCATTTTACTTTGAAAATTATTTTCGTGGCTAAAACACTTGGTGAAATTATGCATGCAATGCTAAAATTTGTCAACTCTTGGGCCTTGTTTTATAATGCCTTTTACTTGGTGTCACTAAGACCTAATGCAGTTCAAAACAACTCTTCTTCTCAAATACTAGCATGATTCAGTTCTGAAAAAAATATTCTATTCACTATAGTCTTATCCAAAGTATTCTTGGACCCAATAATAAGAACATTTTAGACACCAAGTGTTCTATAGGAAAAGACCTAGATTTAATCATTGTTTTTCATGAATATGGTCCGTCTTTCTAGTACATGTATGAGCAAGTTGACTTTTTTTTTTTTTTAAAACAAAGGATCAAGTTACTGCTGAAGACTTGATCATTGATTAAATTATCTAGGATGACTATTATTAAGTCACAGTGGTAGTGTGACTTAATAATTACTAGAGTGAAAAAGAGTAGTTCACCAGATTGTATTAATATATGTGACAAAGTGTAATTATGAGTAAGGAAAAATAAATTTCCTCCCAAAATGTCAAGGAGTAGCTAGGTGTTTTTTTTTGTTCTCTTTTTACTTGTCTTGTATCTATGATAACACATATATCCTCTGCTTGAGAGCCTAACTAGATGGTGGTGTTTTTGTGGAGCTAGCAGAGAAAATTGAATATTGCTACCTTGATATGTTTTCTTTGTTGACTTTTTTGTTAAGAAGTGTTATTTAGTTCTTTGTTGTTAAACTCTATGTGCAAAGAGAAGAAATAGTCTGATTAATTAATTATAATCTTTAATTGAAATCTGTTTTAGCTTAGATAATCCTGAAAGCGGTTTGAGCACTGGGGTTTTCTCTTGGTTCCAGTTGAAGGAAACTCCTTTAGTTCATTTGAGCAATAAAAGAGCTTGTTCTTCCCTTCCCTGAAGCAAAAATTATGAACATAAAGCCACAAAACAGATTCAGTGTTAATTTTTAAAGAAGCTTCCCCATATTTCCACCCTCATCAGTGGTGAATAATGTGCCTATGTTGGAAAAAGTTGAAATTTTCCACTTGTGCATTTTGAGCTTTTCAGAGGTATTATACACTCTGGAAATAATAATAAAAGATACTGGGCTTATACAGTGCTTTTTGTGTGAGAAACTCATATAACACTAATGCATTGATCCTAACACAGTACTTGATTGTGACTTTAAAAGGTCATGAGTTACTGCTGTTACAAGGAAAAAAGAAAAGAAAAAAGATGAAGGGAAGCTTCAATTTACAAATATTATTTAAAAAAATCCAGATAAAATTAAATTGTATAAATGTAAAAATAAAAGTTATAGGGATTTTTATCATTTGTTGACTTTTTTGTTAGTTTGTGGTATTTATTTTTTTATTATTTTTTTTGTATCTATGATTCTACTTAAAGTCTGATTCCCTTCTTAAATTAGAAAGCAGAGTGTACTTTTAAGCTTTTATTCCTTTTTAGCTAAGAAGGCTTAATACCTGTGGTGGTTTTTGAGTTTATTACAATATAACAGTGTATTTTATTTGTTCTGAACTGGGAAATTATCCTCTTAGGTTTTCTTAGTTTTATATTTGTGGTATATAGCTATTGATTTTGACAAATACAGTGGTCATGTGGATTAATCTTCAACTTTTTGTGTTTTGTAGGTTTATTCTTCAATCCAAGGAAGTAATTCATAATCAGCTATTAGAGAAACAGAAAATAGCAGAAGAAAAAATTAAAGAATTAGAGGTAAGGTTTGAGTGAATATTGACAATAGCAGTCAGCTTTTATGAAAAAGTAATTATTTTGTGTCATGTTAAATGAAAATGTATGTCTGCCAAGGTTCATGTCACATTTTTATTGTTTATGTTAGAGCCGTGAAGTGGTCATATTCATGGCAGTGCATAAAACAAACCAAACAGTTTCTTTGGAGCTGTAGGCAGTTTTGAAGCTAGGATGCTATTAATCTGAATGTATTTTCTCTATTACCTTTGAATGGATGTTTCTATTTATTAAAAACCGTAAACAAGAGAGCAATGCATATTTAAAAACCATGTAGGTAGTGGATTGTGGAGGATGGTAGGAGTGTGGGTAATGGTAACAGTTGTTAGAGACTCCTGGTATAATGTCTCTTATGTGTCGTAATTCCTTTAACCTACTTTAGGTTCTAGACAAGTGAGGAAAACAAATTTTGCTTTATTTGTTTTAGTTATGGAGAAAGATGAGAGGTAAGAGTAAGTTAGTAAATCTTTGGGACCTGGAGTTTATTGTTATAGTTCCTTTATACATATTAAGATTCGATGGGGTGTTTTGGGCTTTAGTGAAAAGTCCATCATGCATACAGTAAAAGTTAGATTTGACAGACCCTGGTAATTATTTCTTAGGGATTAAGATTTCCCAAAGTGGGGGTGGATATGTCATGATTTCATAGGTCACTTTATCTAATTTCTGTATTATTTGAAGCACTGGTTTAGAAACTGACTCAGCCGTCTGCTGGATTGGGGAGCCGCCTCCTATAGTCTCCTGGGGATTTTTCAGGGCACTGACTTGGCATTGCCTGGTAGTGTATAGTATCTTAGGTTTCTTAGTTTGACTAACTGATCATTTAAACAAAGTCAATGAAAGATTTGAGTTTGAAAGATGAATTGTAAAAACAAAAAGAAGCAAACAGTGAAACCTAGTGAAGAAAAAACTGTTGACCTGTGGTAACCAGGTAATTGTTGTATCTAGTCGTATCAGTCGTATCATTTTTATCAGCACACCTGTTCACAGTAAATTTTATATCCTGTAGTGTTTTCACTTAAAAGAAACAAAATATCTGGAAATCCCCCACCAAAGTATTTTCATGTGTAGGTAAGACAAATACTTTGCAACTAGATATATGATTCTGAAAATTTTTCTTATTCATAAGTAGCAATAAGGGCATTAAAGTTTTCAAATGGTAATTTTATATAGTTCTCTTTTTATGAAAAGAAAGATCTGTGTAAGGATATTGAAAATGATATATGGGCTTTAAAATTGTTAACACTGTTTACCCTAAGGAAATTAGAGAGTTCTAATTTTCTGTTCTGATTTTCTTTTGCTTATTCAGTTAGTTGATCAGAAAGATGTGTGAGGTCTCCTAGATGATATTAAAAATTTCTCCATAGTCTGTTTAGTGAGCGGTGGTATTTAGAGACTTTTATCTGATGTGCAAATGTTAGTCGTTACTGCATACAGAACTCAAAGTTGTGTTTTATGTTTTTAGGAACTTTCAGCTGTTTTAAATAGCATTCCACATTTCACTGACCTCTGATTTCCATTGTTGCTATGAGGTGTTTAATTGTTACTAATTTGTCTTTTCTCCTTGGCTACTGTGTGTGTGCGTGTGTGTGTGTGTGTGTGTGTGTGCATTGTACGTTTTACCAGGGATTTATCTCAGGTTCTTGCACACACTAGGGAAACTATCTATGTCCCAGCCCTTTGTTTTGTATTTTGTGGACTAGGGATTGAACCCAGGGGTACACTACCACTGAGCTACATTTCCAGCCCCTTTTGTTTATTTATTTATTTTATATTTTATGACGCGGAGTCTTGCTAAGTTGCTCAGGGCCTCTCTAAATTACTGAGGCAGGCCTCGAACCTGCAATCCTCCTGCCTCAGCCTTCAGAATTGCTGTTTCCAGCCTACATTGCATTTTAACTGGTTTTCCTCCTTCTAGCCTTCCCTCTTTTAGTCCTTTTAGCACATTTAAGTTAGAATGACCTTTCTGTGATGTAAATTTGGTAATATTACTCCCTTTTGTAAAAATTAATTGTTGTTCTATGGTAAAAATCAAACATTTTAATATATTTTCAGGACTCTTTATGAAATGACTTCTTTATATTTCTCTGTCTTCCCTCATTTCCTCAGCCTTCTGAAATATTCTGAACTTTTGGAATTTCTTGTGCTTTCTTTGTTTCTAGTAGATTTTTCAAAGATCCTTCCACCTGAACATGTCCTTCTGCCTTTACCAGCTCCATGTACTAATCCTTCAGTTTCTAGAATAGGGCTACTTTTCTCAAGAAGCATTTTCTAATTTCTTAAATTATGTGCTGCTTTCTTCTACTCCCTATTTATTCTTTTAGCTTCTTAGCACAGTTTGGGAATTTGGGAATATAAACTATGAATAGTTGAAGTAAATCACAAATATGATTTTCTATTGACTAAGATAGGATAGGGAATCCTATTAAGGCTTTTATTCCCCCAAAGTAAAGGCCACTCCATGAAAATAAACCAGAAGCATTCCAAACATTCCAGCCAAGCCTTTGTCTCAAATTGGGGAAAATGGAAGTGGGTAGGAGTAGACTTGAATAGAGGGTATAGGAAAGTTCAATTTCAAGGACTAAAAGGGCATAGCCAATTAGAAGGTCATGGGCTGAACCAACAGCATTGGTACTTTTCTAATATCTGTTTACCAGAGATTTTGACCAGTAGCACTGGTACTTTTCTAAGACCTGATTAGCATAGATATTGATCAGTGCCCCTACTCTATAGCTGTATAACCCCCAAGACTAGTACATTTAAATGGCAACCTCTATTTGATTCCCTCTCACCCTGTAGGAGCTCTTTCTCTTTTCTTCTCCCTTAAAGAACTCCTGCTCTTAGGCTCACTCTTCCTCGTCCAGGGATTTCATTCTCTTCATTTGTGAGATAAGAATCTAGAAGGGAGGCACTGGTAGGAGGCTGGGTTCTGCTGTAACACTAAAGCAGCAGAGGCTGAAAATCTAATTTCAGTGTTACTTAGAAAGCTTGATGTAGATTTTAGAAATCTAAATGTTTTTTTCTAAAGCCTCCCAGTTGTTATTCATCTTCTAAATACAGTCTTTTCTTTTGTACCCTAGTATTTATTGCCAGTACAATTTATTTCATCTTAATCCTGTATAATTATCATCACCATCATTATACCTTGCAATTAAGTGGGGAAGCACAATTTATATAAAACTTTGCAGACAAAGGACAGGCTGTTTCCTTTTATATGTATTCATCTCTGAAAGAGTAAGTTTCTTTTTGGTCTGGGTCATAAGTCTAATTTTTAATTAAAGTGTTAACTTGTTTCATTAAGTAGTCCATTGTGTATGCCTCATCACCCTCTACCAACAGTCTGTATGAATGACACTGTGGACAGACCTTTTCTTTGATATAGTTGTTCAACTTCTCTGACCTGAAAGCTCATCTTCATGGTATTTCTTAGATTCCTTTTTACTCAGCTCTGTTCTTACTGTTTTTTTGTTTGTTGTCTTCAGATCCACTCCCCATTTATTTTATGCCATTTTTTAAATTAATGAATGTAAAGTTTACTTAGAATTTGTTTAGTTTTTGATAGCCAACTAAGTTGGCTGACATGGATGGAGGTCCTTTTGATAGAGAGTGATATTCTTACTAGAAGATAAAGACAATCACTGTCTTAGCATGCATCTAAAATTATGAATGTGTATATGTAAAATAACCATAATCATTAAATTTTTTTTTTAGTTGTAGGTGGACATAATTCCTTTATTTTACTTATTTGTTTTTATGTGGTGCTGAGGATCCAATCCAGTGCYTTAAACGTGCTAGACAAGCTCTCTACCACAACCCCAGCCCAAACATAATTATTTTAATGAAGCATTTTCAAACAGTATTACAATATGATAATGTTTTATAGATTTTAATTTTTCCTTTATAAAGATGATAGGTCAAGTTCTAGGAGGAAATTACAACCATGTTATCAAAATAGTGATTAGTAGAACAATGATGCTGGTCCTGTTCATGAGAACATACAAAACAGTGCTTTGGGGATGATAGAGTAACCATGTTATTTATGTCATTATTTGAGGAGGTTCTTTATTTTTAAAAAATACTGATAGTAAGCCAGGGTGATAGTACATACCTGTAATCCCAGCAATTTGGAAGGCTGAGGAAGGAAGATCAGTAATTTTGTGAGGCCCTGTCTCAAAATAAAAAATAAAATTGTGCTGGAAATGTAGCTCAGTGGTAAAGTGCCTCTGGGTTCAAACCTCAGTACCAAAAAAATACTATATAACTTCTTAAAGCAGATAACAGGTGTATAATATTTAATATAGTATATGTTGTTATTAGAAAAAAGTGTAAAAGCACAGTTTTAAAAAATAACTGGGCTTGGTGGCTCAGGCCTGTAGTCTCAGCTATTCTGGAGGCTGAGGCAGGAGGATCATAAGTTCAGGGTCAGCCTGAGCAATTTAGTGAGACCCTGCCTCAAAAGTTTAAAAAAAGGGCTGAGGATGTAGCTTAGTGGTAGAGTGCTTGCCTACACAGGCTCTGGTTTGAAACCTTAGAATAGCAAAACCCAACCAAACCAAACAAAMAAAAACACTCACCAAAAACATAATTGTTTAGGATTTAGAATTATGATTTTTTTGACTCTCATTAGTCTTTGTAAAGTAGTTTTTTAAAAAGATGTGTAACATTATTAGGAAGAAATCCTTTTTTGACAAAATTCAGTTTTAAAGTTTAAATTATTGATTGAGGAGATTGGTGTCTTCTGAAGAGTGCAAAATGCATTTTATATTTTTGCTCACTCTTTTGGATATAAGAAGGAAACAATTACTTATTGTCCTCTTTTGCAGTTTTGAAAACTTAGCTTCAGCATTCAGATGAGCTAGAATTTCCACTATTGTGAATTCTAGGCAGTAAGCTTTTAGTGATATGTGTGAACACATTTAGACAGTTGTTCCCATATGTCATTTATGTTCTCTGTCTTGTTTCAGATGTGGAC